GCTCTTCCTTCAGAGATAGACGATCAGGTTCGTCTCACGTACTCTTGGAGCCTCAAGTAGGCCATCATTTGGGGAAGTCCCACTGGTGAGCTGCTCGATCATTGAGTTACGGCCCTTCCTGCCACAATTAGACGTGACAATTCACAGGTCCTTAGATCGACCTCTGCTTTAGCGCTTGTTCGTCTATCTTGTTGCTTTTTCTGTGCGAAGCTGCATGTTTTTCGATAAACCAATCTATTCGTATATTCATCTGCATCAGCTATTGCAATTTCTCAAAGCTTGCTGTTGACTTGTTCTCGACATAAGCGACGAATCAGGGCTTGCATGGAAGCTTGAGCTCTAGTAATCCTTGTGGGCAGACGACCTGCTATGCATGAATAGAGTCACGATTGAAGTGCTTTACCTCAAATAAGCATGACGCTCGGAGCATTTGCTTGTCATGTTTAGGGGATACAAAGCTACGTGCATTTTCAAATGATTGTCGAAAGCTTCGGGTACTTGCCCATCCTTGCAGCCGTCATATATATATCTGTTCTGCATGATTCCTCGAACACGTTTAAAAGCATTTTATAACCTGGAAAATAGTGCCTGTTTACCAGGTGTATACCCACTGTGTTCAAATGAGCTTGCAAGCTGGCCTGTGCTGCCCGAACAGGCGTTGCGACACCGCCATTTCCATCGCCAAAGGCTTTATGCCCCCAGCATAGGCAAACAAATACCAAATCACTGCATTAGCGCCTAAATAGATCAACATAAAAGAAGTGCTGTAGCTAAATCTGATATCCTACTGCATGCAAAGCAAGTAGATGCCCCACCAGAAACTACTCAATGGGAGAGGGTCTCCAAGGGTCCGTAGAGCTGCAGCCTCAAAGGACCCCGAGCATTAGTAGCCAATCACACATAGTATCTATCCCACACGGGCGTAATATTGTTGTTTTTCCTTTGCATCTAGTGCCTCGTTCGAAGAATTGCCTGCTAGCTCCAGAAGCACTAGCAGGGACAGCAACTAATACGAGGGCTAGGACTTCTTGGTTAAATGGCTCCGCGAACACCCCGGTAGAGGGAAAATCTAGTTTTCAACCTGGCAATGAATTAGAGGTCGCGCAGGTTGGCATGCAGTATAGATGTAAATATGCGATGAGCATACTACGTGTGTCGGACCCTAAAATTGTGTCTAGTGCCACCTAACGATCGATCCAGAATCAAACCATGTGCCTCGGTTCTTACTGTGTTACCTATTAAACAAAAGGAGCATTTTAGTGAGGAGTATGAATTCTTCTGCGTAAAAGGTTTGCCGTCGGGAAGGAAGAAGAAATTCCCCTGCCATTGACATATCGAATGCATTACTCTACGTGCAGCTGGCAGGTAGCCCCAGGTTGCGGCCTTATGGGTTGCTGCTGCACAGGATCAGCTAGCATCCCCAAGGCTCGCTTAGCAAGATCGAACTGTCTCAGTTTGGAATAAGGGACTGGGATCAGGTTTAATATGCACACTGCCTTAATGTTCTGCACGCGAAAGGTCCACAAGTAGACGTGGAGCTTGCTTGTAGGTTACTACACGGCAGGCGCTTGTCTCAAATATGAAAAATAGCAAGAGTAGAGCCAGTAGGACCGACACATGGATACAGCTCTTCTATGGACAACCACTGCGATACGGAATAGGACTTACCCTATAGATATAGATGCACGTGCGGAGATATGCATCACTGGAGAGCCCTGAATGCAGTACTCCACATGCCTTGCAAAGTATCATTGAGCACTGGAAATTCTCATTTATGGGTAAAATGGTTTAAATATAATTAATCTTGGCAAAAATTGCATCTCTCAGACTTATGCTGACTCCTGTTGTAAGGCTGCTGCTTGGTGTGTTGTGGCGCTACTTCAGCTGTGCCTAGAACCTTTCTTGCTGGGGTTATCTCATCCTCGTATGCGCGTACTGCTTGCTTAGCTCGCCGTAGGCAAGTAACAGCAGATCCTGGTGTCTCCGCGTTGCTCTATGGGAGAGCTGCCACAGCAGCTCCTTTCCTATTTCTTGAGGGCTCATGTGGCTTGAGATGCATTGGAGCTCAAGACGATCTACTAGACTGGACAGATTGTAGTTTGTTACAGTTTCCGATGAGTCCCGCCGAGCATTCATGAGGTCGGCGAGTTGCTTCTTTGGGACTTCAGCCCCCGCAGCAATCGCCTCTTGTGCCGTAACCGCCACGAGATCATTGAGGTAGCTTTGAATTAGTGCTCGGTTGCCATCTATTCTATTCCTCAGACTAATCGAGCGCCGGCCGGTCGTCTGAAGCGCATCTGCCTACTCCAGTTTGGCTACTTCAAGGTCTACTGCGGCAGCAATCACCCGAGCAGCCCGTAGCGTCTGTCGCCTTGCGCGGTATTCGCCGTAGCAGGTAGCGACTGCTGGCAGATGTCCCTCCAAAAATCCCATCATACGGGTCCTCACGGTGCGCTTCTAGCTGGTATCAAGGACTTGCATTAGTCTACCGTCGATATTTGTGCCAAGAACAATCAAAGGAACGCCAGAATGCCCCTGTGCCATGGCGCTGGCAAGACAACCAAAGAAGCCAATTGACAAGAGAGGGCCAGGCGTCAGGGCTTTAGGCATACAGAGGCAACGAAGTGATGGTGACGTTGCCCCCACGATATCAGGCATAGACTTACGGATGGGGGGCTTGATGATTGGTGCTCCTGGTTCATCGTTTCACCGGTAGCAGTACAGACAAGAAAAAGCAGTCGCAGCAGAGCACTTGCAGCTCAGGCAAAAAGACGAGTCGAGTAATAGAAGTAAGCCTGCTTAATAAAAAAGAATCAAAGGGAACCACCCTAGACCCTATAAGGCCGGCAGGCGCAAGCCTCTCAAGTTTTGTACGTTAGTGGTCCGCTCGGCCCCAGTATAGCCGAAACACAGGTGCCAAAACCCTGAAGCCTGAATTCTCTAGCCACGCAAACACAATTCACTGCATGATTAAATCAATCGAGTAGATTTGGGGCCTAAGGAAGAGTAAAAAAACACCTTGTCTCCGGGGGGCAACACTTATCATTGAAGTGGCCACCGGGAGCAATGAAGTCACGAGCCAAGCCCTTAAAAATACTCTCACAGATCTAAATGTACAGGATTATACAGAATTTTTAATTTATTTATAAGTATCAACTTCTGGGATTGTGGGGATTCATGTTTAGGGTTTTGTGTTGCCTCGTAGTCTACGTGTTGCTGGGGTCACCGCTTTCAAATCAATTTTCCACGCCCCACACCCTAACCCTGAAAACCAAACCAAATACGCAAAATGCGACTGTCGATCACTGGTCTAAAAATAATAACTACAATCGAGTTTAAAGAGTGTTGATATACTGCAGTTGCGTCACTTGTTGCTGCGCCTGCTGCTTTTCTTAGTGAGTTATTGCCTAGTACCGCTGGTCAAAATGTCGTAGTAGCTGGTAATGCCCTGAGCTGTGCCCTGATTACTGCATTTCGTGGTAAATACTGGTTTCCCAGCTGCTCGTAAAGCCGCCTTCTACTGCTGCTGCTGTTGCTTGCTGTGCAGCTGCAGATTTCAGGATTGCTCGCTTCCTTGTACGATGTCGTGCGAAGAAGTTTCGCTGAAACTCTGCTTTTGACCCTGGATCATTGCCAAAAGTCGTAATTGGCTATTTTTCAGTGGGCAAAGTACCCCTGATTGGACAGACCAAATGACCTTGAAGGGAGACCTTTTCTGCCACACCATTTAATATCAAATTCCGCCTGCTAGAAATCTAGCCGGAATTAGCCTGATACAGCTACGTTTGAGGCGATAAAACGAATGCATTTATCTAGTTCATACGTCTTCTTTAGGTGAGAGCTTTTAAAACTCGTAGCTGGAGGAGTATTACACGCCCAGATAAGAGCACTTCAGGTTTGAGTACACCCTCCGCGGTATTCACTAAAGGACTGGAAAGCAGTCGAGGATACGGGAGATAGCAGGAATGAGCACGGGAGGCAAACTTTGCAGCGAGGAACCGGATAAAAAACGCGCTCTGTCTAGTCAAGCAACTGTGTTAGACAAAACTCTCTAGAACGCGTTGAATGATACATAGTGAAATTGGGGGGTAAAATGGGTCTGTACACTGATACATAGGCACATATAGGAGAAGCTATGTCTGCATATGTTCCGGTACGGTTCAGGTGTGAAAAGACTGAAGTAATGTCATGAATGCAAACATGATGCAGAATGACGCAGGGAATCCCGCTTGTGGTCACAGGTGCGTTTCTGCTTGCGTACGCTGACAAAAAGGTACCTGCCTCTCTTGTGGTAGGGAATGACCGCTCTACACTATACATGTCTGTGCAGATAGAAATGCTTATAGTTCCTTGCATCTTTTTCTTTGCAAGATCATATTGCTATCTGTCCATGCGAAGAGGAAAGTCCTCTTTTCTCGATAAGCATATTGTATTCTATTTGTTCCACAATCGCTCATGGCTGCCTTTCCTGCCTCCCAATCCAGCGGCTTGACTTAATTTCGCTCTGCGGCCTGTATGTTCAGGGATTTGTAGCCGTCTTCCTCAGTCTTCGAGGCACAAGCTGTTTGCCCTTAGGAGCGGCCTTATCTCCAAAGAGAGCCTCGCCAGCAAGGGCCTCGGCTTCGTCTAGGAGGGCCCCTGAGCATAAAGTCCACTCAAGAGCAAGCAATTGAACAAGCGCTTAAACATCAAATCAAGCCAACATATCAACGTTCCCAATACCACTATTCCCATTCAATATTTCTGCCTTTCCTTTATAGCTTATCACCCCGTCATTTTGTCCTCGTTTTTTCTAGCATGGTTTTCGCCTGATTCTCTTACAGCAGTTACGTCAGGCACACTGAACTATACATGCTATTGACTGCTAAGCAAGCATGCACTTTGAGAGTGCCCAAGGCAAAGTTGCATGCATACCAATGCACACCAACAAACGGAATTCGGCTAGTTGCCGCTCCATCTAGAGACGCCTTACATTTCACTTAAGGTAGAAACGGACACAATCAGGAACGGGAGAACAAGGGAGACAATAGATTTAATAGAGAAAGAGTGTTCTTTGCCAGAAAGCTACAAGGGGCTTTTTGCTGCAACCCACCAAAGTGCGCCTTCAAGGCGCGTGTCCAAACTCCCACGTCTTGGGGGTTTATGCTCAGGGCCTCAAAGAGCTGCGAGAACAGCAACGGCTCCTCTTCAATAGCAAGGAGGTCTTCCGTGGGATCCTTTTCAGGCTCTTCTGCTTCGGAGTCGTCTTCCTCGGTGTATAAATGCGCATCGTCGTCCTCCACTTTAGAAGCCCTTACCGTGTCAGAAGCCATGTGCTTAGAATGCTTGCCACCAAACTCCATGCCATCCCTGTTCCTTTCACTCTTCATATCTTCGTTTTTATGCTCACCATGACTCTGCGCGCTTTGTAACTCACTTAAGAGGTTCAAAGGGCTATCATCTTTGGTAGCAGCAAGCACCGCGAACAGCTTCTGCTGCGCTTCTCTGGGATGCGTTTCTATCCCCTGTGCGATCAATTCCGCCATTAGAGGAGCCAATGCGTAAAGGTACACACTGAACGGAAGCATGTGGAAATGCAGCACTGTAGCCCACGTTCTTCCTATGGGTCCAAAGGAGTCAAATACTGTCCCCTCACTTCCAAACATCTCCCTGACGCAAGAGCAACGCAAACAGTGCATTCCATGCAGCCCATGCTAGCATGTTCCCTCACTGACTCAAAATTTGGCACCTCTCTACATATTTGGATATCGGCGTAGCTTCTTTCACCTATTCTTGGCTAGCGTATTTGCGATGCATCTACCAATAAGTGTTTACAGAAGCTTTTGTCTACCTCAACGCTGGAGTCAAGCTGTCTTACAAATGTAAGCCCCCGAGTAGCTTTGCATTTCCTCAGCTGTCAGGCTTTCAAAGCGCCCCTAATATTTAGTATATATGCCCCCAAGATAGTTACAAAATTTTTGAGGTGCGTCTTCTATCTCATCAGCCATCTGCCCTTCTTCTAAGTTATCTTGGTGCTCACAAATGCCCTCACTGCCTCGCAGTACATTGCGACTGCCCGCAGAGTGCCTTTTCTTCCGCAGCATCGTCTTATGGTAAGTAGGAAACCTAGCAAACTGGTAGTGCCTCGCTGCCTATCTCCCGCAATTTATCTGTGCCAATCGTTTTTGCTGCTTATGCAGTAGTCTTGCACTTCTATTGTAGGGTGTCTCTAGTCTGGTCCTTGTCCTCCCGGTGGTCTTTTATGTCTAGTTGTGCGCCTGCCTCGCCCTCTGCTTGAACTTCAGCTCAGAATGACTCTCTTTCTCTCCCTCTGACAGTTATCTATTAGTCCATCATTTGTGCGTCTCTATCACTATGCTGTTGTGTGCCTAAAGATCTCTGTAGACTGCCACCGGTGCACTTCCTGCCTTCGGGCCCCTCTGCTCCCTCTCCCTTCGCTTTGCCTTTTGGAGGCAAAGACACAGTCGCATGTGCTTACTGTACAGCAAGAAGAACACATCCTTCTAGCGTCAACAGCAGCAGCAAGTGATGATACGATCGCTTACTCTGTGGCTTGCAGCCAAAGCTTATCAAATTGTTCGGGGAACAGAATGCCTTCTTCCCTCGCCTCATGGACCAGTTCCTGTCACAGAAAACACCATCAAATAGTGCCTTGCGAGCTTTTAATAAGAGTTCAGTATACACTTTCATTTATATGACCGCCTGCCTACACTCTTGAGAAATGATACTGTGGGTCCCTGTAAATCAGTTAGTCTCTGAGCTACTCTCTACGGCACTGTCTTCTTGCTGATGGATGACTATGCGTTCTTCGACCCTGACCCTGTCACATCCTTCCCCAGCCTTTTGCCTTGTTTTCCCGCTTCCATTTATATCGGAGCTTGTATTTTCATATATATGTGTTACGGATGTGTCTGTTGATAGCCTGTGTGCTTAATTAGCCAATTTCCTGCCTGGTCGGGTAGTTTGTTTTGGTCTCCCTTTGCCGTTTTGCCTGGCTCGGTGACTTAGACTATGGCGTTCAAAAAGGGTTATAGCGTAGATTGATTACCTCGAATCTGTCGTATGAGATTTGCCGTAATATGGAGTTCGCAGCAACGTCCAGCTCATCCATGACCTGATCATCACCGCATCAGAGACAAGGAAGTAACAAACAGATAAGGAGAAACAGGCATCTGACAGACTGACACGTATGCCAAAGAGACAGAGAGAAACATACACTGTTGGAGGTCCACAGAGAGTAAGAAAATTTAGGCAGTAACAAAATGCGGTGACAAGGTGACACATCTGCGCGTACGCAGCAGCGTCAGAAACAGACACTCCAAGCACGGTAGTAAAATCAAAAGGGATATATATATATGCACCTAAAAGCTATCGGATAGAGGACCAAGAGAGCTAAGAGCTCGATCCAATGCAGCGTAAAGGCAAAGAGAAAATCGAGCTTATGATATTGAGTGCAAGCAGTGGGCAAGGCGCAAAGGGACACGCGAACTCAGAGGGCTACAATCGGTACACGGCCGTACAGGAATGGGAAAAGAGATAGAAATGTAAAACAGCCAACAGCAGGGACATAGCTCGTTCGGAAAGGCCAAGTGATGGGCAGCAGGCTGATGGAATGACATAAACCGAGAAGCACACAGTGGCAGCCAAGTTAACAAAGACTAGGGCAACAGTCAGATTCACGAAGCGTCTGTGTCGCGAAGCACTGACGGAAAAAATGTTCGATATCGTACAAACCTGTGCCAATCTTTCCATTGAAGTAGTGGCATCTGCTCTAAGCTTTTCGTTTAAAATTCTCTCCCCCAGGCGGGCTGCTGTCTCCGCTAAAGCTGGAGGGGGAACCCATGCTAAGGCGCCTAGGGGGGACCTTAGAGAAAGGAGACAGGCGTGCGCTGTGCCACAAACACATAATCCACTAATGCAGACACTGATGCTTTGAAAGGCGTAGATTAAATACGAGACCTAGGTAGGTGCAAACGAGGCGCAAAGGGAAAACAGAGAACATCTCAAAGTCGAAAAAATGCGAATGGGAATTGAGGGGGATTAGGGCTGTGACACAGACTAGAACAGATGTTGGTGACGAGAAGGGGAAGAGGCAGGCACACGGAGAGACCGAGAGATGAAAAGGAGGGGAACAAGGACGCGGAAAAGCTAAAAGGGTAAGCAAAAAGCAACAGACAGCTAGGGGTGGAGGGAGAGCAAAGTGCAGAATGAACAAGAAAAGGGGCATGGAGGGAGGACCAAGTGAGGGTGGCTAAATACGAAAGCAGCGAAACATGGAAAACAAGCCAAAAAACTGAAAGTGGACACAGTAGGATTAGAGAGAGGCTCTTACTCGCTTCCCTTGCTAGGGTTCTGACGTCCTTTATTGTCCCACCAAATGATACGACTACAAAGGGCCCGGTGTCTGGCGTTGCTGGTCGGGTGTAACTCCCCGGCCTCTTTGAGGGATCAGCAGCGGCGTCTATCCTTTTTTCTTCTATGAGTTTGGTGAGCTCTTTATCACAGAAGGGGAGGTAAGCGGCGAAACCAGCCCTTACCAACGAAACAGCCGAGCTCCACGTGTATGTTCGGCGGGAGGAAGGCAGAGGGACAGGAGCCAGCCGGTCTGAGAAATTAAAGGCCTGATGTAGACGACAAGCAGGCGCATCAGTAGACATGCCAGCAGTTGTACAAAATGAGGCAAAAGAACGTGAGAAAGGAAGATCTGAGACAGCGGGAAGGGCAACTGCAAAAGCACGAGCACGAGGAGTACAAAGAGACAGCAAATGTCAGAGGCAGGCATTATGTGTGCACACATTCCATTCGTCCATTTGTAGTTGTTTCGAGCCTGTCTTTAGACTCGGAGATTCACGCGTAGGCCAGTTTACATTCGTGGCTGCCTGTGGGCTTGTTTTGCCAGACACTGCCTCTCTGTGCATCCTAGAAAACGCTCACGGGTTCGTGGAAAGCCCGTATATCCAAGCAGGTTCTTACAGAAACGTAATACTAATACGCATGTGGTCAAGGGCAAATCTACAAGCACATTTTTCATGCAGAACACAGTACCCCGAAGGCCTCTACAGTCACTCTATACAGTCCTATGCAAGACAAACCACAGTCTGCTCCTTCGCGAAAAGAATTTGCCTCTTCAACCGATAGAAGCGCCGCGCCAGAGATGGTCCTTCGAGGCGAACTGCGGCCACCATTGCTGCCACCGCGGCGTCACTGACACCAAATGATAAGTTTCTCTTTGACCGCACAAACTGAACAAGCAGGAAGGAGTCACCCAGAAACGAAGAAATGCTGAGGTAGCGAGAGAAACAGGCGGCCATTGGGGGAGCGTTGAAAATGCAACCGCCTTGCCAGACAGCCACAAAAACAGATTCAGGAAAAAGCTAGGGATGTGGGGAGGCTAATAGTCTGAGCAAGAAACATAAACTGGCACAGAGGTAGAACGTAGGCCATATGGGCGTAGACACGGTGGCAAGCAGAGAAACGAGGACTGCGGGAAGCTGAGATGTTTGAGTGGGGAGACAGACAAGTATGAGGCGATGATGGCGGGGGCACCGAAGGGCAGCCCGATAGCTGCATTGAGAAAGCAAGATATAGTTTAGCGTAGATCCAGGCATAAAAAGAGGCAGAGTCATCAGAAGCGAAGCGTACAGAGCGACCGAGATATTGCCACAAAAAGGCTGCTTTGAAGCGCAGCGCAGGGGTGTTCTAGGCAGTATTGCAGCTAAGTTCCTACTACATAGGCGTATATCAGGTACTTGGGGTGACGAATTAGAGCTTGGGGCTTACAGGGTAGTTGCGTTGCTTGCTGTCAATTCCCCAAATTCCAGACACTGCGTTTAAGGAGACAGCTGCGAGAACGTCCAGTCGCTGAGACCGAATGCCCCTTCAGCACACACCACAAATCCAACTCCTGAGCGTTTAACAAGATGCCTGGAATTCAGCCTCTTGAAGCAGCACCATCTGAAGGTGCTCGTTCAGTATCTTAGGGTCGATAAGATACGTTATCGGGTTGTGTCGCTCTGGGCTTGAGTGCGCCGTGTAGGGAGCGCCCCCAAAACAGCTCAGTCCTCTCTATTGAGAAAGGCCTTAGATTTAAAACGCGCGGCTTAGGGGGCTGGATTTACTGGTCGACGGCTTCTAGGGCCCTTTTTCTGATCGCTTGACTAGAATGCTGCGTTGCTTGTTGGGCTGTAGTTAGAGACACTGTTTCTGCGCGCGCTTCCTTGCTGTGCCTCTTCTTTTCCTTCAGTGGTCTCTGTTTTCCCGTCATTGAGTCTTTCTCCGTGACCCCCTCTTGTTGTGCCTGGATCGGCCTTTCTGCGTCAAGGTGTGTGCGAGCTTGTATCCCAACCTCGGTTCCTTTTTCTTCCTCTACCTTCTTTTGGCCGTGCGTCCGTGTGTCCGCCTCTACTTCGCCCTCTTCGGTGCCCTTTCGGGTGAGGGTGGTGGTTACAGTAGTGGCATCTGCGTCGTCTCCCGTTTGTGGCTCCTCTGAGAATGGTGAGGGTACATGCGAGAGCGCGAGCTGCTGTTTGAGCGCTGTCGTTGCGACCAAAGGGGCATCGTAGGGCTTCCTGGCTTCCAGCACTGTTTCCGTATCCCAAGGCAGCATATGCTTCCTCTGCTTTAGCAGAAGGGACAGGTAGGCCTTGCGGCTGCGCACGAAAGCGGAACTCCTCAAGTGTACAGACAGCAGCTCCGGAGGCGTTCCGCTCGCCTCCAACTCGAAAAACAACAAATGAGGAGTCACTCTGTCCAGCCACGCATGCAGCACACACAGGTATCTGCGCAGTGAAGAGTGTGGCTCAGCGTTCAAAGGGTCAGAAAAGTAGGGTGCAGGGTCGCTTGCAGGCCTCAGGGGTTGAAGCATCTGCCCAGAAAGGCTTGAAGCAAGGCAAGCAAGCATATGCGGTCGACTCCTGCTTTGTTGGAGCTTGGGATTATTATTAGCATGCGTTTCGTGGAGGGACACGCAGTGTTTGGCATGGCATTTATGCTAAGTGCTCAGGATTCAGTGTTATAGGGGGCGAAGTTGGGGTGTCGGACTGCGTGAGAATAAAGTGCTCGACTTTTGCTCTGGCTCTCTGTGTGCTGTCGTTGTTCAGATCTTTGTCTGCTGTGAGTGCCGCAAAGGACACAGCGGCAGTTGCTGCGTTTTGAAGGTTTTCAAGGCCTTTTAAAGCCTCGGCAAACCGTAGAGATACACGCCCCTGAAAGCCTCGCTCAAAGGCCTGTGCCCTTCGACGCAGCCGTCTCAGTGATGCCCAAAATGGCTCTGCCGAAAGACTGGCATATCCGAATCGCCCGAACAAAGAGGAGCGAGGAGGAGTGTCCTCTAAAGATTCTGCGAAATACCGCCAGCTTGTATAAGGAAGGATTAAGGTAGTGGCTCGCGCATGGCGTGGCATTGCAGGGGTTTCACATGCACATGTTGCACCCTCGCTGGGGTGTAAGGACATGGCTCTGGAGGGGACGGCGGGCAGGAACATGTGTTCAATAGGTTACCAAGGAAGCGCCAAGGGCTGATGAAGCAGATACGTACAAGGCTTAGGGTCTACAAGGGAGGGGAGAGACTACTGGCTAGGTGCGCTTGAGGGGTCTGGGGTGTAAGCCCACCTTGGCATGCTCCGCACTGCAGCGCTAGCTGCGAACCAACCAGACATCCACAACCTCCAGCTTAAAACTGTGGATCACACACTCTATGCTCGGAAGGCGGTAGGCCTCGTCGGTTCGGAAAGTTAATTTCGACCTAACTCGCTACAGCTTCCCCCCGCGGCTCCGGAGCAACAGCCAGAGCAAACGCAGCAGTGGCAAGGTCAGCAACCCACCTCGAAGGATACAGCGGCAAGAAGCAGCGACAGCAGCAGCCCACTGCCTCGGAGTCGTAAGCCTGGAACCATGAGGGTTTAGAGTCCGCAGCGTTGGTGTCTCGCTTGCAGAGGTCGCATCTACTGAAACCTGCACCGAATTTCTCCAATGCACACAGTTTTCACGTTGCGTTAGCTGTACAATTTAATGTAAGGAAGACTGAGGCCTGTGGCACAGAGTGTGTAAGCATAGGGGGGCTGCAGGATCTACTGTCTAGAGGGAGTCGTACACCAGCAGGGAGAAGCCGTAGGATTCTGCCGGGATGCTTGTAGCAATTATCCTCAAAACCCAGAAAAGAAGCCCTTAGAGTTGAAACCAAAGATCACAAACGCAAAAATTATTCTAATTCCGGTCGAACCGCTTTGATCTGAAGCCCCCAAGACGACGACGGCTTTAGCCACATAGATCGCATTGCCAGGTCTGCGATTTCGATTTTTTCGCGGTTTTAGGACTCACAACTGCGCCATTGACCACTAATAGCAACTAGACAAGCTTTAGAAAGGCTGATTTCCTTTCACAAAAGGGCCTAGGCTAAAAAGGTTGCTACTTGCCATGCCCACCACGCACTGAGTGCTCGAGCTACCCGTGCGCTGCACAGCTCTCCGCGCGAGGCAGGGTGTCTTGGGTGCGCTAGCGATATGTGGGCGTGCAACTTCCATCATTTGCAGCCTGATGCCACGTGCTACTTCTTGACAAGTGTTTGCCTAGAGGTATCTAAGGGCCTATGGGGCAAGGATTCCCAACAGATGGCTGGAGGTCCTACGTGGCGGAGGACTGAGAGTGACGGTTTCCCCTTAAGCATCTAGCGAAGCTTGATAAAGGGGCCCCTTTTAAGCCTTTTTTCTAGTGGAAAATCCGATTTCGCTCATTAGTTCCTTTGAGTTTCGGCCTCTTGGGCGCAGCGCTTACAATGGAGGCAGCGCCTCTTCCGCCGTAGGCCTGGCGTGTACTAACTGCTAGTTGTCAACAGAAGTATACCTTAATACACCTAAGTGGGGGATTCCGTTGCGTTCACATCACGCATGGCTTTCCAAGGTGACACACTTTTACCCACATACATTTATACAAGCCCCTAACCTCAAATAAGGACTTAGTCAGCCGTTAAATATCTCCCTGCTGTAGAGGTCATAGGGAAGCCCAGCGTGACCTTTACACCCGGAACCCCTAGCTGTCGGGTGAATCGCCAGGGAGGCACTCGACAAAGCTTAAACCCTTTCGCACCAAGCAGCTGCGGATTGAGGGAGAGATTGCTGGAGGGCTAGACTAAACTCTGCCCCTAGAGGCTGAGGGTTCCTAAGCCTTGAAATTAGGATCGCAGCCTGCAAACCCTAAGCCCTAGGACTCGAACTCAGCTCTCAGCAAATAACTTCCTGCTTGACCTCCAACTCCTCCTCGATCACCTCTTCCTTAAGCTCCCAGTCAAACCATGTGTCGAATTCTTCTTGAGCTCTACACCACTCCTCGTACTTAGGCTGTGAAGAGCCACAAACCACAACCACACACGGCCTCAACACGCTTAGTACTCTTCGAACGCTCGCTCTTTGCACCCCAGCCTCTACGCGCCCCCATGCAAGCGCTAACTCCTCAACCGCACGCCAAAAAAACGTCCCAGCTTCACTACCCCAAACCCTGAAGCCTCACATGTTTAGACTTCCAGGCATCTAGCTCGTCAAGTATTTGCTGGAACTTCTGGCATTCCTCTTCACGCTGCTTCAGGAACGCCCTGCGCTTCTCGCTGCGCAGTCTCTCATCCTCGGCCTCATACCGCTTGCTGCAGCAACCTCAACATACCACCGTCTCTTGGTAAAGGCCTCCGGAATACAACCAACATGGTGAGCAGAAGCCGCCAGCAACGCGCCAGCAAGCCCTACAAAAATGCCATGAACGCTGACCTGTACTCTTTCATCCGCTTTTTGATATCGTCCAGTTGTTTCTCAGACAGCAAAGTCGGTGGATGAGGCCTCCACAAGAATTGGTAGAACTGCTTTTTCTTGTTCTTTTCCAAGAGCTTTCCCTGCATCAAGAACCCGCAACGCCAAATAGCACCGCTCACCTCCGCCTTTCCGCGGGCTCGCACCACACAGGGTGCATCGGAGAGCAGCCACTGCAGCTCTCTCAAAAGCTGCCCACGTTGCCACGCTTGCAGGCAGGCCCCCTCCAGCCCGTCAGAACGCCAGCAGGCTTCTAACCTGGAATGTCCAAATATTGAAGCCCGCACTTTCTTCGAGTCTGTACGCTTGAGCGCTTGCGACGAGAGGCACCACAACACACGTGGCCAAATAACGTCCACAGTCGGACCAACGAACCTCATTGCACATGTAGTGCTCGTCTTGGTGCAGAACCTGTGGGGAAAAGGCAGCAACGGCGGGGGCAAACCGCAGCCGATTCAGCTGGCAGAAAAAGCCTTTTGCGCTTCTGGGAAGGCCGCCTCGCCTCGCTGCGAAGCTGTGTGCAGCCGCGCTGCTACGCATGCATGCTCATCCGAGTGCCTAGGGCCTTAAAATTCGCGACCAAGATTCACACGTCTGCGACGCAGTACCTCGACTTTATCCTGGTCATTCAGCTGGCAAAACATGACAGTTCCGTAGGACCAGAGGGAGGCGAGCACAAAGTAGGAGCCGAAGGGAGACCACTTCAAGAAGTTCATGTAATTGGGAATTTCAAAGGAGTGCGTCAGAATGGTATCTCTTTTGTTTGTTTCTACATCTGCAAGCCACACAACAAAACGCCCAAACTACCGGTGCAGTACTGCTGCTGCTGCAATGGATATATATACATATATATACATATACATGTACATATTTATACTATGTACATATGTATGCCGGCCGGCGGGTACTAGCCCACAGCACACAGATCAGGGAGAACCCTCATGGGAAGTTGCTGGAAAATGCAGTTCGCGCCTTGTTTGTGCAAATTCAAGTATATAAAAAATATACAACTCTAAGCCCCAAGTGCTCACTGCCTTCAGCGGCGTCAGCAACGCGGAAGAAGCGGAGGCTCTGGTTGCTCGTGCCTTCCTCCTGCACTACCAGCACGAAGCGCTTGCCTGAATTCCAAACCCCAGTTCACACTCGTATACACCTTAGCCCCCAAACAAGTTTCCGCAAGAAACAAGGCCATGAGACGCCTCTCTGCCCCCCCCCCCCTTTCCCCACCCACCCACACAAAACCCCCTGCTGTCAGCTGATTCCCCACTTTGCATGTGTGGCTTGTGCGTGCACGGCTATCCACATGCGCGCATGTGTCCTCTGTCAAGGCTGCTGGAAAACATCACCCCAGCGTTTGCAGTCTCTGGCTAGAATTCTGGCCTCAGCTGGAAACGAAACTTAGGGAATGGGGTTCGCAGCGTACTAGGGCCTTCTTCCCAGTGGAGCTGAACGGCAATGTCGTTGAGCTGGAGGTTATCTACGGGGATATCCTTCTCTCGCATTCTGAAAATCTCGATTTGGCTGAATTCCTTGCGACCCTTTTTCCCCGTCTTCTTATAAACCATCGTGCGGAGGCATAAAAAGTCGCCGTGGCTCTGCCAGTGCATTGCAGCACCGCGGACGTTGTAAACATTCTTGCTTGCCAGCTCTCGGCGGCTCGGTATATCCACGAGGATTAGGCGTCCTGCGCATCAATAGCACGCCGCTGGAAGCAGTGCGACATGAACCGTTGCCGCAGGAACAGATATTCAAGCGCGGCGTCATAAAAAAACCAACACATACGACGCCGAGATCCTTTCCATTCCCCCCAGCAACCACCCTACAACCCCCCCTTCCACCACCAACCCCACCTCATCAACACACGCATGTTGCGGCAGTTCATCGGGAAAGGCGTTCGAAAATTGCGCCGTGCCCGACACATCTACCACATCATTTTGCCTCAACCCCGCAGTCTCTCCGGTTCCCAACCCTAGGCCCCACCTCTTACAGAAAAACCTGTAAGACCTTTGGACCTAAAAGGTATCATCTCGGAGCGATGGCTAGAAAGCCAATGGAGGAGGCACAGGCGCAGCAGCAGGGCGGCAGTCGCCGTAAGCCTAAAGGTTCTTAGGTGCTCCATTGCCCCAAAATTCCTAGTGATCATGAAAAATGTCCACCCTACCAGGTGTATCGTCAGATCCCCGAATCCACAAGGAAACGATGTTATCTCCGGGGGACCATTCAAACTTCTCTACCGGATATTTTAGAGCCGAAAAATGACCCTTTTCGTCCCGCAGCAGCTTCACCGGCGTGAGATCCTGCATGAGAAAAAAAATTCATCCCAAAGGCGTAAGTGTCAAAATATGACTCTGGCAGGCGGTCGTACAAGGTCTGAGTTGCGCGCGTGTGTGTTTAGGGCATGCGTTGCACGCCCTGGCACCCCTTTGCCATAGAAAAAAGAGCAACGCAGACCCTCTTCTGCCACGCCAACAAAGACAGCCCCCTTATCAACTGCCCCTACGACGCAACACCACAAGCCCCTGTATTCCCGCACCGCACCTCGTCAGCAGCCTGGTCAGGCGAGTTGTCTTGGGGGTCCATGGCATACACGCAAAGTTCCTTGTCACCGATCTTAGCGAGGTACTTCTCGTCATGAGAAAACAGAAAGTGCGGAAACTCCGTTCCTCGAGGGGTCGCCGCGGGCGTCGCAAACTGGCGGAGCATCTCGCCTGCGCACAAGCATACAACATCACCAGCATAGGCTCATGAAAGTCATCGCACCCTTGGCTGTATATACGCAGCTCGCCTTAATTCCAGCAGAGCACAGACAGACGCACGCACACCGAGACACAACGACTCGCCGCAGCCCTGCAGGCAAGGGCCATCAACAACCTCACTCTGCGGCTAGATATACGTTTAGATACACATAGATAGGTATACACATGTGCATATACAGCCAAACACATGTAGAGAAACGCATGCTCTTGGGGGCGTTAAGTGATGGCCAGCTCGTGGAGAGCCGGTAGGCTCGCTGCCACCCACCCGTCATTACATTCCACGTCTTGACGGCTTTCTCGTTCCGCATCGATGCCGGAGTGCCGTCCCATGACAGCATGTACGTTTCTTTAGGCGAGAACATGATCTGCACGCAAAAACCTTTGACCCTTACACTCTATCAGGCTAATCACCGAGCGCTACACACGGGCGCGCATCCGGGAAGGTTCACTATGGACCCCAAGATGCCTATGTTTGCACAACACGCACGAAGCCCTACACTCTCAAGACGACAGAAAACAAAAGTACTCCACCCACCAACCACCACCCACCAATCACCATTGTCCAACTACCCGCTTACTTGCTTGACTTCCTTATGCTCTAGGCGCGCCTTCTTTTCAAAGCTTCGACCAGCCCATAGCGCGATACCTGTGCGCACAAGCACAGTACGTTTTTCAACTCCGAGATAGCAGGACTCGTGCAACTTTCTCCCTATTCAAATTACAAAACCAAGCTCCGAAATTGCTATCTCTGAAAACTCCCGTTTTTGTCGCCACATAGTCTCTAAAATTCGAACGCCCGCATATCCCCGTTCCCCCCAAAGCCGACACAAATACAAACAAGAAAACGCACAAACACGCACACACAGGCCCTTTGAAATTTCCCTCTTGTCTGCTGCACCTTGTCTGTGGAAGGTAGCCAGGAAGGAGCCTTGAGGCGACCACTGAACTCGGAATTCTGTCCAAACAGCCTTGCCGTCCTGCTTTTCCTTGTGACCGTCATAGCACAGAGTACAGGCTTCCGCCTCCATGGGATCTATCCAGTAGACCTCTGTCTCATTCGCGTGTCTCAAGACAAACTGCTCCCTAAACCGTTCGTCCCGCAACCACCAGCGCACGTCCTCTCGCGTGAACCCTAATAGAATCGGAGACACAAGCACACCACACCCAGACAATAGAATAGCCGAAATACTGGCCTCGAAGTCTCGTATGCAGCCAATCCTCGGCTGAACGTGCGAAGCACCTCTTTTCCTGCACTGACCACACCGTGTTCTCCGCCTCAAAGGATCGACGGCAGCTTCCAGCTGCTAGGCATGCAGTGCCCCTGCGAGCTAGACGTGTTCAACACGTACCACGAAGCGTGATGGCAGGCTTGTAGTCCTTATCCCTTGCCACGATTTCGTCGAAGTCATCTAGCATAGCGGCCCTAAAGGTGTGTCTTTTGTCGATCTTGTATCCATTGAGAGCCCTCGCCGCGTGTTGCGCTGCATATACACTCGGGAAGGTTAGGAAGCAGCAGCCCCTCGTAAGGTTCCCATCAGCGGCCATCGGCAGCTCTATCCCAAAAGTCGCCTCCACATCCTCGCCACCCTTGCGCGCCAACTCGTCAGCAATCTTCTTCCGCAACACGGCAGCCAGCTTGTCGAGCCGGTCCGCCCCAACCTAGCAACACACCGAACCCCACACCTTCCAAAGTACACGATGCAAGGCTAGAAAGGAGAGCGAGTGCCTAGAGCTTTCGGAGGGCTCTGCGCTCCTACGCCGTGGTGTAGACGGAGAAAAAAACATCCCGAAAAACCCCAAGCTCTGCAGCGTACCAAGGGCACCCCAACCATAATAACGGTGTCAGGGAACCGATCATCCATCTGAACAAGCGGCTCAAAAGACTCAAGTTTTGCGGTGAGGGCATCTTCATCCTCGTCGCTGTCCTCCGAAAGGTACTCCAGCAAGTCCGCTTGCTCCTCCCCTGAATGCACACGTCCACACACACGCAGTCATACCCGTGCACGGTAGGGAGCCCAAGGGGATGATGGCGCGGAAACTGCAAAGACCCCTTCCCCGCCCCCCCCCGTAGGCGAGCAGGCGCAAATAAAGGCGTCACGAAGAGTAAATACGAAGCTGTTGCGGTCTCATGAATGGTGCAGTCCGGATAACGCTCCTCCGGGTTTCCCCGTCCAAATCAAATGCAGTTCGTGGTCATGAACCTCAGAATCTTACCCGTTATTTCCATCTCCTCCAAGTCCTGCTTCGTCACGCGCACCATCTTGGCTGTTCTTTCAGTTTTGGGGAGAGGGGGCCCCCGTACACCCTAATCCTTTAGCGCATGCAGCGAGGGTCAGTAAGCCTCTTTTATCCGAGGTAAGGACCCAGCGGCTGCCAGGGTTCAGGGATTAGTGTATAAAACTTGCCGTGCGCGGAATCAGAGACAAGAAAAAAGCTGCATTTGCCGGAGAATGCAGTGCCAAGGGGGAAGGGTCAAGGGCTTAGGGGGCTGTGGGGAACTGTGTCTGCGATTTGCACGAGAACGATTGGCCTTCAGGGCACCCCTTTTCTGCACCCCAGTCCTGCAATTCGAGGAAGAAGATGAGCATCTGGAGCAGCAGGAGCAGCAACAAAACAAACCTCGCTGCTGCTGGTCCTGCTGCTGCCGCTGCTGCTGCACAGCCCCAACACGGCCCCATCACCGCCCCTGTCCGCACATGCGCCATGCGCTTACTTCTCTCCACCACTGCAGACACATTCCAATGGACTTTGTACGGCGTTTGACCTCTGTAGCTCATCTACTTTGCGGGGGTGTTCGAACTACCACTTGGCATGCAGTGCATTTGCAAGAAGCGCGGCCCCCCATGTATCTGGGCTTGCCTGCGGGCTCGAACTGTGCGCCATAGCTTGCCGGGTAATGTCCAAATTTTGGAGGGGGAACAAGTGCCAGTTGAGGTTATTCCTCCAGAACTAAAGGGGACTCGATACATCCCCGTGGCAGTGTTAAAATATAGAGAATCTTCTCTACACCTCAGTCCCTTGCATTCTAAAGGTACACAGCTCCCTGCATTCGTGTTTCCTTAGAAATGCTAAGCTCGGAAAACAGTCAAACCTTCAATGAAGGGTGCCTCCTTTTTTTCCCAACAAAGTGCCGCAGTTTCTAGCCAAATGAGGCCCAAGGTTCCTGGGCCTCATTGGCTAGAAACTGCGGGGAGTAGTCCCAGAAAAGTGAGATCCAAACAGGATAAGCTACTCTTACGGTCTTTGTGCTCTACCATTTATAGTTAACTATGAATTGGGCTTGAAATTCATTAGTTGACTTTTCTATGCGTATGTCTTGCCTATTGCAGAGTAGTGTGGCGCTCTATATACAGTCTTCAGTAAGAGACAATAAACTCTAGGATTGATAGGAAATCGATCCAAAATTTACTAGTGTTCTACAGAAGGACAGTCTTTCATTCCCTCTGCCCATCAAGTTACCGGCATTAGGGTAGAGGCGCAGTTAGGGTGCGCTTTGATGCACACTCCGGGCATCCACAGCCAGTTGGGCATGGCATCTAGCGCACGTGTACACACTACGTCTTTTTGTATCGGTCTAAAAGCGCTCTGTGACATATAATATGTGCTATCAAAGGGACCGATTGGCAAATTTTTCACGCATTCGCAGGTGAGCATAAGTTGGGTAGCAGACTGTGCAAGAAAGTAGATCAGCTTGTTTCTTCTTTCTCTCTAAAGATTCCAATGCACAATCCCTCATGCTCTGTAGCTGTTCATCAGAGACTCTGGGTGAAGGACAGCAGAGGAAAGCCCGCACTATCGCTACTCTTCAGGCCGAGAAGACAGCGAAAGAAGGGCGAATACGAAAAACAAAGTGTGCGCCAACCTTTACAGTTGTTGAAACAAGCGAAGAATTAAATGCGCATCAGCCAACAAAGAGAAAAGCACAAAGTTGACACTCTCACGGTGGTGCAATGGCTTGCGGTCGCCGGAACGCTGAAATGTGAGCCTCCTACGAGAAAGCAGAAAACAGGTACACTTGTCATGGGAATTGAGAAACATTAGTCAGGTGTTTCCAGGCGTAGTAGAGCTACTTGTGCACGCAAAAATAGTTGGTTTATGCAGCTTGGTCTGTTGAAAAGACCCGAAAGAGGTGTGAGGAAGATTGTATGGACCCGTCTACACATAAATCTAAGTTCAAGAGGCAATGCGACCATAATAACCGTCGCCTTTCTAAGCGATATTCATAGATTAAGGTAAGTGATTTAGCCAAGAATTGCAGAAATGACGATTTCCCCGGAAGTCGAGAAATAACCTCCATGGGGATACACAAGTTCTCTCCAAAGCAACGAGGCCCGCAGTTGCTCCCCCGTCAGCCACACAACTTGCCGTTCCTCCCCCCACTTCACCAGAAAGTCCCGTCAACTGTGGTTTTGGCGGTTTATTTTCCTGCAATTCAATGACTCTATGCCTCTGTATGGATCGTCATTCTCTACACGGATCCCTTGCCTCCGCGGCGAAGCGCACAAAGACGTAGGGAGCCCTACATGTTTTTTAGGAAGCCAATGTTCATATCTCTGTGGGGCCGTCAACTTTTGTAAAGCTGATCAAGTAAGAAGCAGCATTGGCTCGTGTGAGAAGCACAAAACTCCTAGCCACCTGGCCGCAAACTTCTTCGCCTCGTCACTATTTGGTACATCTCGGGAAAGCTTGTTAATCTATTCCGATTCTGAAAACACAAAGCCGGCCATCACTTGTTATGAATCCGTATTTATCCTTCTTAAGCTTTGCGCATACATTTGCGTGCACGGTCCAGATGTCCTTCGAATCCCATCACTGATGCTGGTGGCATAAGACCCCGGATAGCCAGGTCCAGGCTTCAATCAAAGATTGGCTACTCAGTGTACAACAAGGATGCAGGAGAGAATTAAGTAGAGGGGAATCGATTCTATTATCGGACCACTCATCACAAGGAGGATTATCGAGCAAGGTACCTGGATTTGTGTGAACACAGAGCAATGAATACTACAGACGAGTGCGACCGGTGCGCTCTGTTTGTCCATCTGCCTCAAGGTGGTTTGCAATGGTCATATTATGTTCAGTGTGTAGGCAGGTCGTACACCAAGGTCAGAAATCACTAGCGTATTTTCGATACTCCCGAGAAATATGTAACGCTTCTAGGTGCAAGCTAAGAACAAATGTGTGACTTCCTGAAGTGGGTCAGAGCTGGAGCAAAGGATCAATGGACGCTTTTTCTGAGTCTATCGACCGCGCTGTACACGCTATACTTAACGTAGAAAGCTGGCATATCATTAAGAGAGACTACAGTCAGCTCAGCGCAAATCCTTTCAGAAGGCGGGAGGCCGTGCAAATGGCCAAGTTCAGAAAAATCCCGCGGCTTTAGCTGTTGTCCATCTGGGCATTACTCTGCGTACTTTTCCGCCGCTGGAAGCATCCCTGAACTCTAAGGAAATTATGGAGCCTTTTTCACTGTGGTCTGAATCCCACCGTGGCCCGAATGAGCAGGATCACGTGAGCTCTTAAAAACGACATTGCGAAGCGAAGTTGGAGTGTGCAAGCGACCGAGAAGCTACTTTGCTTTAAGCCAAAGTAGGACAACCTCAAATTGTTAGAGCTTTACTTTCTTGCCAGAATTGAGCAATTTCGAGTGTACGGGTGTGAAAAGCAGGACACTGACGCAATTTTGAACAGCATTGAGTCCTCAGACAAAAACGGCTGCGCTGAATAATAGTGAATTGCTGGGGCGTGCGAGACGAAATCGGCGACCACGCGGGTAATCCTCTTAAATATGCTTCACTGTGAAGTCAACATGCATGAGACACCTAGACCAGCGAATAAACCTTAGGGTATCGAAATTCTGAAAGCTTAGAAGGTAAGGAGGACTGATGATGGGTCTGGAGAGTGAAATGACGCCCTTACAGATAGTGGCGGGAGATATTTTGACGCCCCGCCACACTGCATAGAATTTCTCTACCCCTACTGAATAGTGCTGCTTGGTTTCCGTCAAGCGAAGAAGACAGGAAGCGATATTTTGATGTTCTTGGAGAATCCGTAGCAGGCTGGTAGGGAATCCACCCCATCGCTCCGTCAGTGGCATCGGTTGTTAACAAGAAACGATACTAATAATAGGGCAGCACGAGTGCCAGAGGAGCTGTAAGACGGACGATAGACATCCTTGTTACGGGATCAGCCGCTTCTATCCAGGTAACAAAATGCTTGTTCTCACGTAAATCAGCCCAAGCAGTAGCGTTCCGAGCACACTCAAGAGTAAAATTTCGAAAAAAATATGCGAGGTCACAGAACTTCACAGCGTCGTTGCGGATGCCTGAAACATGATTGGCTTGATATCTCCCTTTTCCGGTCCTTTTTGTGCAACCAAAACGCAGGATTTCAGGAACGATGCTTTCGTGGAAACAAACACACGCATGCCTTCACACACCCCTGTTTGACCTGCAAGATGCGCATGCCCCGGTTGCTGTAGGTGCTCTCGAGAGCGTCTGCTAAAATGTGTGACGGCCACGTAGCCGACTATCCAGATCTCCTTATTAAAGGTCCTAAATATTACAAATAGCTGGTTTGTGCAGTTTAGCTGGGGCAATAAGAAGTCCAAATGGCGTACAGGTCTACTAGGGCTAAGAAGTACGAGTTCAAACGACGTAGTGTAGGTGTTATCTGGGTGAATGGAGACCTATAAAAAGGCGTCTATGTAGTCAAATATCGACTGCACTATTGGTCTTGTAGTTTGTGGAGTAGCTCATCAATGGGAGGGAACGGGAACTTCTGTTTAACAATGATCATGTTCATGGGCTTCATGTCAATGGGAATGCTTTGCCTCCCAGCATTTTTCGGCAATAGCACCTGGTTATTCCCTAAAGCAGCGAGTCAAATTTCGTAGGCTACTTTTTTTAACAAGTCATTCAACTGCGTTCAAGCTACTCTGCATGCTGTGGAGGCTTTCGATCCGCGGAACATGGCTTGGGGCTAACTGGGGGTATTTGCACAATGCGTTGCTTTGGACGACCAGCAAGTAGCCAGCCAGCTGGCAGCTCATCCTTTCCACGCATTAGAAAATACCAATGAAGAGCTAGGAACAGATTTATCAAGAAGGGAAGCAGGCTTGAAACTGTCTTCTCTTACTGCTTTGCTGAGCAGCCTGTATGAAGACTCTGCCTAGCCGTGTTGAAGCACCGTTTGTACACAATTCACCTTGAATGAAACGATGGCTGTCAAAGGGCTTGGTGCTTTCTTTACTTGCTCCACAGCACACTGGATAGCGCACAGCTGTGGCATCACACGAACCTTTTATGGGATTGCCAACGGCCTACCAAGCATTGTGTACGGGTCCAACATAAAAGTCACAGACAATCGTGTAGGACCCTACTAGAACTCAAAGCACCATTCAACAGCCGTAACCCTGCTAGTCGTTGCATTCTCACTACCCTCAGCAAACTTGAGTTTTAGAAACTGCGCTTTCGAGTAAGAGCATGTAACTCTTTGCCGTTTCCTTGGATAACAGATTCACTTCACATCCAGTATCAATCACCACCAGCAATTCTGGGATAGTTAATTAAGCCTGTATCAGCGCAAAAATGACCCCGGGGGAAATCCCCACCTGCAAACGCGATCCTTTGTAGCGCCACAGGCTGCATGCAGGCTTTTCCTTCGCCTGATGCACATTCTTTGCTCACAAAGCAGTCTGCTTCTGCTCGGCCAAGTCAGTTTGTAGGTTATTTGGTGCAAATGCCCCTTGAATTTCCATTGTTTTCCTTTTCAAAATGTAGGTCGAGTCCGGTCTCCTGCATTCATAGTGTAGCGGGAGAAGCTACAAAATAGCACTTTTCACCACACGGTATTGCTGAACAAAATACTAGTGCAGAATTGAGGTAAATGGCATGTCTGTTTGTATATCTTACCTGTTGCAGAGTACTTTTGATATGATACATGAAGACGCAACGATGAGTGCCTGTGCGGTAAATCCCATTTATTAAGTAGCTCTAAATGCCCGAGGTGCATACAGGATGCAGCTAAGTGCGACCTAGCTGCATCTCTCCTTCTATGCCGAGAACTTTAAACAGCGAGGGCGAAGAAAGAAAGAAGTGTTTTGTGGAAAAGTTGTGTTATTTGTTTTCTACATTTGTGTTGAGTCTGGGTGAGTGCCTCTCTACGGAGAGCTTAGCGGTGCACATAAGTTCTAAGTGGTAACTTGATCCCTTTTCAAAATGCAAGGCTCAAGTGCTGGACGCATTTTATTTTTAGACGGCGAGCAATGCAATGCTTGTGAAAGCTGCACTCCGTCGCTTGTTTAACCGCTCAGTCGCTGCCCGTCCTGCAGCGAACCGGCGTGACACTTTGGAAAATCCTTAGATAAATGACGGGTAAAGCCGTTTTGTGCTCACGTTGTGGCTTTTACAGGGCACAGTTTCGTAAATTCTTGATGTCCCAATATAATAGGAGGTTTTCATGCCTCATATTCCTCAATTCTCATACAGTCTACTGTTGAGCTGCTCTGGCCACAACCCAAGAAGTCCGGGCTTGTTTTGAGGCTTTAGCGGTAGCAGTTGGTATAGGCACACGGAACATTTTACTTAAGAAGAGCCACCATTGAAGTGCTTCCCTCTTAAAGAAAAGTGCCCCAGAAGCACTCATGTTTCTTTATGTGAGGGAACAAAGCGCGGTTCTTCATAACCGGCAAATGATAGCTTTGAGTTCCTTCCCAGCTTTACCGCCGTCTTACTTTTCTGTTCATCATAAGCTCATCGCGCACAAGCGTTTTCATTGCTTGCCAAATCATGCCTTTCCACCAGCTGTCGAGTTACTGTGTCCGCAACACCTTGCAACTCGGCCTCTGCCGCTCCAGCGGCCGTCTTGCCACCGCCAACTTTCATTGCAAGAAGGCTTTCCCCCTCAGAGTGTAGCCAGAGAAAGTTAAATTATTGAATTCCCAAACGGCAATGTCAAATGCAGGCAGATGCTGTAGGGAAAGCTGACATCGTACTGCATCCATTGCCAGCCGATGAGCGGGAAACAGCTGCATCAAGCCAGGCGATGTAACCGACTGTATCGCAAACACCAGATCCCAGACTCAATACGTACTAAGTAAGAAGCGATTGAGTATTTTCCATACGAACTCCCTCCTTCCCCTGTCTTTCAGAGAACCCGACACGATGGTAGAAGGCAAGTTAGCGTGCAAATAGCTGCACCTTTTGAGCTCTCCAATCAGTCACAGTTGGTTGCGCATGGCATCCAGAGCGCATGCAGACAACACGGCGTCTAACACTATGGAGCTAACACTACTACGCAAAACGTAGGAAGTGTGAACATTCAAGCTACTCAGCCTAGTGTTTCTTAGCTCGAATTCAAATATAACTAGTGTGGTGTGTAGTGGTTAGGTCTAGCTGAGCCTGCTATTCAGTCCAGGTTCGCTTCTCTGTTCCCTAGGCCGTCTCTGCTAGTGTGAGGAGCTGTACAAGGCAAGGTGTCTCTGCAGTTTATTCCCCTTGTTTTGCTAAGGACCTTCGCATGAAAAGGCTGTTTGCCGTGAATTCGCTCCAGAGGCTAGGGGTTGGAATCTGAGGCTGTACGTTTGAAGCGTTAAGAGCACACGCCGTGTAAGCCCAGAAAGGCGTCGGCTCGTCGTGGAGGCACCTACAAGGAACCTTAACAACCGCCTACACCCTGATCTAGACGCAAAATCCACAAAGAAAGCGCTGCATGCAGCGTATTTTTAACACAAAACTTCGAACGTGCAGCTATGTACTTGAGGCAGTGCAACAGCCCCGCAGGGGGAGGCAGGAATTACGGTTTGCGTTATTGGCTCTACGGGATGAGGAGCGACGCAAATTCTGCTGACTCTATATACTCGACGACGAGTGCAGAAATGTTGCCCTTCTGTGCCCCTTTATTCGGATTACTGTCCGTGTTTCAGCAGACTGCGCCGCAGCAGCAGCCAGCCAATCCGGCAGCAGCGGCACTAGTAGCAGCAAGAAAAGCAGCAGCAGCACCACTGCACCACTAACAATGTAATCCGAGTTGCCGCGTGCCTCGTTTCAAGGTTTTCCAGGGGTGGCAGAGACCCTTTGTGTTTCGCTGCCAGCGGCGCAAGTAGTAGCGGGAGCAGCAGCAGCAGCGGCAGCAGTGTCTGCTTTCATTATTACCACACTGGCAGCTGCTACTGTGCCGTCGCCTCTGCTGCTGCAGCGTCTGGCCTCTTGGAAAACTGAGCTTCCGGTGCCTTCGGATCCTCGAACAGCAAAAGGAGGAGCAGAAGAGCAGCAGCAGCAGCTGCTGCTCTTCTGCTGCACTGCCAGCAAGACTGCTACATACTACCATCCGCAGCATCTGCCACGGAGAACTGTCCCCTCATGCTGCAGCTCAGTGCCATTTAAATCGCTCCCTTGCTTCAACGGCAGGCACCGACACACATGCCTCTCACCTGCCGGCAGCAGTAATCTCACAATCGCGTGCAGTATTAGCCGCCTCTTACGAGCAGCAGCAGCAGCAGCAGCAGCAGCACACACATATACATACATGCACACATGCATACATACACATGCATATACACACATGCATGCATACATATGCACACACACACACACAGCACTGTCTTCTGAGCAGCTTAGCCGACAGCATCGACAGGGCCGATATCTACCAGGCAAGGGCAGCAGCAGCAACAGCAACAACAGCAGCAACAACAGCAGCAGCAACAGCAGCAGCAACAGCAGCAGCGACAGCAGCAGCAATAGCCATTCGTCAGTGCGAATTGCACTGGCCAAAAGTAGAAGTACTGTAGAAACACGCAAGGTAGCAGTAGTGTATACCTGAAGAAACGCTATGGAAGAGGCTTGTGCGGCATCTGGATGCTCCGGAGGTAACTCAAAGCAAGCACTTGCAAGAAGAGCAGGAAGAGGAGAAGGAGGAGGAGGAGCAGCAGCAGCAGCAACGCAAGAGCTCTCAAAGAAGCTGCTTACACCACTCCCAGCAAGAGGTATAGTGACTGCTGCAAAAGCCGCAACATCAGCAGCAAGCGTCGCTCCTCAGGCTGGCGTAAAGGTCTTATCCCGACGCCGTCGTCCCCTCCGCAGCAGCAGCAATGCAGCAGCAGCAGCAGCAGCAGCACCTGTCTCTGGGGAGCTCTTGGAGAGCATTCCAGCAAAAAGAATGACTGTTCATCCAGGCACTGATGAAGCTGTAGCAGCAGCTGCTGCAGCAGCAGCAACAGCAGCAGCAGCAGCAGTAGCAGCGACGGCGGGATCAACGACTCCCCAGCATCGAACCAGAGCAGCTAGAACACGGCAACAACAACAGCAACAGCAGCAACAACAGCAGCAACAGCAGCAACAGCAACAGCAGCAACAGCAGCAACAGCAGCAACAGCAGCAGCAACAGCAGCAGAATGGTTTTGATGCCACGGAAGTTGTGTATTGTGCGCTGCTTTCTGGAGCTGAGGACCTTGCAGCATCACCGCTGTCGGGTGTAGATGCAGCGAAACACCTCGAGCATTCCCAGGCAGCAGCAGCTGCAGCAGCAGCAGCAGCAGCGGCTCCTGTTGCAGCGGCAGCTGTTGCTGCTGTGGCAGCAACGCATACAGCAGCGCAGCGGCAGGCAAAGGCTTCGCTTGGTTTGAGATCCCCCGCAGCGGCTGCTCCTGTGGCTGCAGGAGCAGCTGCTGCTTTATCTCATGGTGTTGTTGTTGAGTATGCTGCTGGGTTGCCTTCGGAGTCAGCATGTGCAGCAGTCACTCCTCTCAGCAGCAGCAGCAGCAGCAGCGACGGCAGAGAAGGGGCAAGGCGTGCGCGTGTGCTTTCATATCAGGGTGGGGGGGGGGGGCCTTACTTCTCGGCTGGAGAGACAGCAGCAGCAGCAGCAGCAGCAGCAGCAGCATCAGCAGCATCAGCAGCAGCAGCAGCGTCGGAATTGGAGGGGGTTGCGCCTCCCTCCGCCTCCACAGCAGATGGGAGGTACTGCTCGACTCCTCCTGCTGCTGCTGCTGCTGCACGGAAGCGTGTTGCTGCTGCAAATGTGCGTTCTGAATCGAGCAAGAAGACGCGACGGCAGCTGCAATTGCAGCAGCAAGCTGGAAACACACAGATGGCTGTCTCGGCTGCCCCCGAGGCTGTCGAGGCTGCTGTCTCTGCGGAGGCTGCTCAGGCAGAGATATGTGCAAGTGCTGCCGTGCAGTTTCAAGGAGCTGCTGCAGCTGCAGCCGCAGTTGCGGGATCGTTCGATGCCACTGAAGACTGGCAGTTCTTAGCCGAGGGATCAGCAGACGCGAGCAGGAGCAGCAGCGCCGGCTTGAAGACAAGACGGTGTGCTGCCTTGCAACTTAGTAACAGACAGCTCCGTCCGCTGCCAAATAGAAGTGCTGGCGATCGAGGCAGCAGCAGCGGTCCTGCAGATGTGAAAAGCATCATCGCGATCAACAACAGCAGCAGCAGCAAGAGCAGCAACGGCAAGAGCAGCAGCAGCAAGAGCAGCGACAACAAGAGCAGCAGCAAGAGTGCCTTGGTGGGGGCTGCCGGTGTGAGCGTCGGCGCTGTCAGCTCTCCCGCTGCGCTCTTTCCAGCAGCAGCAGCAGCAGCTGCTGCTGCTGCTGCTGCGTTGCCTCACGGCGTTGCAGCAGTTGAGGCTGTTGCTTTGCTGCACAGGCTGTGGGTTAGTCCGGTGCTGCAATACGCAGAGGCTTTAGATCCTCGCGTGCTCCCGACACGAGAGAGTTTTGCTGCCTCCTATTCCTTGGTGCAACAGTTGGCGGAGACTGAAGAGACGGCCTTTCAGGTGTATTGTCTCTTCCGCATATCCTTGGCAGAATGGGCAACAAAACAGCTGCGCCTACTTGTGCAGCAGCAACAGAGGGATCACCAGCGACATTCCGAAGCACCGCCAGACGACCAGGCAGCAGCAAAAAACGCAGCCGCAGCAGCGGCAGCAAAAACGACGTCAGGCACAGTAGCAGCAGCAGCAGCAGCAGCAGTAGCAGCACCAGCAGCAGGCAGTGCTACTGCTGGTGTTGTTGCTGCTGCCGCTGCTCCACTGACACAAACCCCACCAACTCCGGCTGCGCCAGACGAAAGCAGCTGCGCAAGCTGCCGAGCGCACGCAGCAGGAGTTGGTGGCAGCAGTCGAACAGGTAGCAGCAGCAGCAGCAGCAGCAGCAGCAGCAGCACTGCTGGGGCTGCGCATGCAGCACGACGGGGGATTCGGCGGACGCACAGCTGTTCAAAGTGTAATAGAAGTAGACAACCACAACAGAAGCGGCTGAAGCAAGAGCAGCAACAGGAGCAGCAGCAACAGGAGCAGCAGCAACAGGAGCAGCAGCAGCAGCAGCAACAGCTGAAGGCGCTACTGCCACAGCGACGCGAGGAGAGTTTGTTGTCTAGCTGCCCGTTGTGTGGCAGTTTGCTGCTGCAGCGGCTCCTCCGTTGCTGGGAGGTGTATGGACACCTCGTGTATTGGCTGATGCGCGGCTTCAGTTATTTGGATCGTTTCTTTACGAGAAGGAGGAAGGAGATCGGCGAAACACCTAGTTTGCTGCTCTGCTCCCTTGCAGTCTTCCAAACCTGCGTAGGCGTGTTTTTGCGGTGGTTTGATGTTGCTCTATATGTGTGTGTTTGCTGCAACCGCTGCTCACGGAAAGGGGGTGGGTGGGTGGGTGTAGTCTTGTCCTTTCGACACAGAGTATAGCGGTGCGCAGCATGGGGGAGAATGGCAAGGAAGGGGGTCTGCTTGTAACGCATCTGCTGCCGCCTTCGTCGTGGCAGACTCAAGGTTTCATGGCTGCAGTGAGTGTATCTGCGTGTGTTGCTGCAAAGGTATATTCGCACTTGCACAAGCTCGTGGTGGAGGCTTTGTCTGCCACGGTGGCAGGTTATCGCTACCAGCAGGTGCAGCTTCAATATATCGAACCTGCTGCGTTCAGGAAGCTGATGCTGATGTTGTGCTGCTTGGGGGAACCCCACGTTGCAGCGCTAGAATCGTCTCCCCTCCCCTTGCGAGCTCGAGCAGTGCCTTCAGAACAAGCGAAGAACGCTGGCGCAGGAGACGGCGAGGAGCAGCCACACGGCACAAAAGACACCCCTCTCCCCGCCACGCACAACAACCCCACCAGTCAGAGAATCAGGCGCATCGTAGAATGGTGCCTTCTCCCGTCCTCACAGGCTGCAGAGACCGCTGCCGTTGGAGTTGCTGCTCGGCAGCAACAGCATCTCAGCAGCGCTCATTCGCAGCCTCAGGCTCACCAGGAGCAGCAACAACACCAACACCAACAGCAGCATCAACAACAGCAGCATCAACAACAGCAGCATCAACAACAGCAGCATCACCAACAGCAGCATCAACAACAACAGCATCAACAACAACAGCATCAACCAACAGGTCGCTTTTTCGAAGACTTGCAGCAGTAGGTGTTGATGTCGCAGCTGCTGCTACTTGATGACTTTTTGAGGCGTGCGAAGTATCTCGCACGTCATACTAGATCAGCTACTGCCGCCTCGTCCCTCCCTGTGGTTCTGCATATATTTTCCTGCTGCTAGTGCTCGCTATGTTTGGGATTGCCATTCGAGGATTTTGGAAGTGCCTTGTTTTTCTCGATGGGTGACGGCTGCTGCTGCTGGTTCTTTCTGGCCGTTGCTGTTCTTTTTCTGTTCAGTTTCATGCTTGCGGAGGCAGAGAGCTATTACAGCAGCAAGTCTAGGGAGTGGTTGGTTGAGGATTTTGTCGCCGCCTCCGAGGCAGCGCACCAGCAGCTGTTGCAGGTTCTGTGTGCAGCGGACCGACAGCAGCAGCAGCAAGAGCACCGAATCGACTTCAATGCAGCGGCAGAGTGCGCTGCCGCTGCAGCCGCGCCGCGCGTAGAGCAGCAGGGGGTGTCGCACATGCTCTGCCGCTGCTGGCTGCGTGCCTGTTGCAGCAGTTTCGGCGTGACAGCAGCAGCGGAAGCCGCGGAGGATGAAGAATTCGAGACTGTGGTGGTAGTGTGCAGTTGCGGCAGTGGGAGCTGCTGCCAAGGACCTCCTAATCCGCAGCTGTTTCAGGGAGCGCAGCTGCCGCCTCCCCCCCAGCCGCGGATGCTGCGGCTCCGTGCCTCTGCTGCGAAGCTTCTGCAGGATTTGCAGAAGCAGACTCGCGAGGAGGAGAGTCTCAGCAACAGCAGCTACACGGAGCGTGTCCACTCGCTGCTGATGCGCGAGCAGCAAGTCTTCAAGCTCGCAGCTCTTTGGCCACGCTTGCAACAGAATCTTCTGCAGCGTGCTTCGAAGATTGCGATCATGGATTGTCTGCATGTCATTCTATGCGGCCCAGGGGGCCTTGCAGACTTGCTGCAGCAGCACGCTTTCCTTTGTGACTTGCATGCGGCGCCGTTCGAGCACCCCACCAGGCAGCAGCAGCAGCAACGGCTCGCTCTGCAGCTGCGTGGGCAACCGCGGCGACAAGAGACTGCGGAGGAGACGGGCTGTACGGGAGGCAGTCCTGGTGTGCAGAAAGGCAGCAGCAGCAGTACTAGCAGCAGCAGTACTAGCAGCAGCAGTACTAGCAGCAGCAGTACTAGTTGCAGCAGCAATAGTACTAGTTGCAGTAGTTGCAGTAGTTGCAGCAATCCAGGTGTGTCGAGAAGCTGCAACTCCTTAGCCACTGGCAAGGACTTAATCGGGGAGGTCGACTTATGCGCGCTTCTGAAGCAGCGAGGCTTGCTGTTGCAATCCGTGTGGCGACTCCTTAGGCTGTACAAGCCTACGCAACAGCGACAGCAGAAGCCGAGAGATCTTGTTACTGCCATTGTGAAAGAGGCGGTGACAGCGAGGGTGTTGCGCATCACAGCGCCACTGCGAGATGACGCTTCAGCTGCTGCTACTGCTACAGCTGCTGCTACTGCCACAGCTGCTGCTACTGCTGCTACTGCTGCGCTTGCGACTGAAGCCGCAGGCAGTTGGGCTGCCTCAGCAGCTAGCTGCCTCACCACGCTCGACGGCGCATGCCACCCTGTGCGCACTTGCGGCAAAAGCTGCACCAGCGACGGCTGCGGAGGAGGTGGACAGCAACAACACAAAACTGCGCGCCTCTGCAGAGGCAAGAAGCAACCTCGCTCGGCGTCATCTTCTGGGAAATCACGAAAGCAGCAGCAACTGCGAGCGAATCAGGAGGAGGAGGACGAGCACCAAGGCAATGCCTGGCTCGGGAGCGCACAAGGCGTGGCTTGCCGCCGGTTGCTGGAATTTCAGGGAGAAGTAAAGCGATTGACAGACTTTGTTTTCAAAGGAGATGTCAGGATGGCGCAGGCGATTTGTGCGGTAGGCGTGAATGCATCGTGTTTGGTTCTCTCTGTGTTTTTTGATGATGGGGGGTGTTTTCCCGCCTCTTTTTTTTCGCTTCCTTCTCCTTCTCCTTCTCCCGCTTCTGTGCGACTCCTTTCCACGACCTCTCGTGCCCTCCTTCTCGCTAAAGTCTCCACTCCTTCCCGACGGAGGCTGCTCTGCGGCGGCGTTGCCTCGGCCTCTTCTTGTTTGTTTCGCCTTTCGGCAGATGCGTGCAAATGCGTGTCTACTGCGGGTGTAGTGGTGACGTTGCGACGGACTGCCCGCCGTCGAGGGAGAAGTCGCTCCACAGGAAGGCATGCACATGCACTTGCGCGCATTTGCAGCGTTGCTTCGCGCAGCTATGCGGCTGCTTTCCTGCTTCTGCCTTCTGCTTCTGCCTTCTCTTCAGGCCATAAGAAACGCGCTCGTGGGTGTTCGCTCGCTGGCGACTTCTCTTTGCTGCTTCTGGGACCATTTAATCCCCGACTTGCAGAGTTATTCGCAAACGAGAAAGGTTGCGGTGCGTACTGGGCGCCTTGTTAGACGCGGGGGTAGGGGGAGAGGGGTAGGGGGAAGGAGTAGTTCCTTTGCACGTCTCCTCAGCTAGCCGAGGGCACGTGCAGCATGCGGATTTGGAGAGCGTTTTTTTTCGTATCGGGGTGGCGCTGCTTACTCTTTGGGGGCAGCTCATCAATGCATGCATGCATGCATGGATGCATGCATGTGTACTTCTAGTGGCGCATGCTGTTGCTGTCTCTGTTGCCGCAGATGCACTTAGTGGCGCTGCTTCAGAACATGCCTGATAAGGCCACCTTTCTCGAGATATACAGAGTGCGTTGCTTGGCTGCCTCTTTGCTGCACTCCCCCCTGTGCGGCTGCCGTGCTGGTTAAGCTCGGATTCGCCTTTCTCGCCGTAGCGAAGGGGAGGTATTTCTTGATGAAGTGGGGGGTCTGCGATTTTGCTGCTCTCGGCTACCACGCGTGCCAGGGGTGGGTGACGGGAAGGCAGCAGCAGCAGGAAGAGCAGCAGCAGCAACAACAACAAGACTCTCTTGTGTTGGCCGTGTGGTTTTCTTCTTCTGTAGAGACACTTGGGAAATCGATTGCTGCAGCGCGGATGTCGAGGCGTGGAGCAAGAAAAAATGATCGCTGAGCTTCTTGAGGTACATCTTCGGTTTCTGATGCCCCGCTGTGGCTGCTGCTGTTTATATTTTACAAGGCATGTTTCATATTTTACAAGGCATGTTTTATATTTCACAAGGCATGTTTTGTATTTTACAAGGCATGAATCATATTTTACAAGGCATGTTTCATGTTTTACAAGGCATGTTTCATATTTCACAAGGCATGTTTCATGTTTTACAAGGCATGAATCATATTTTACAAGGCATGTTTCATATTTTACAAGGCATGTTTCATATTTTACAAGGCATGTTTTCTATTTTACAAGGCATGTTTCATGTTTTACAAGGCATGTTTTGTATTTTACAAGGCATGAATCATATTTTACAAGGCATTGGGCAGGACTAGCGTCTCGCCTGTCACCTCGCTCCGCGCTCTCTTGCTGTCTTCTGTTTCTTGTGGATCTCGATGTCATTTTCATTTGCATGCGCGCTCTTATGCGGCCTCCTGCGTCTGCTGCGTCTCTTTTTCTGCTTTTCATAGCGCCATGCAGGCGTAGAACTGCAAGCAACCGTACGAATCGCCGCGATGCCGAAGGATATCGAGGCAAGTGCGCTGTTGTCAATCGAATTCCAGCAGCAGCAAGAGCAGAAGCTGCAGGAGCAGCTGGAGGAGCAGCAGCAGAAGCACCATCAACGCCAGCAGCTCATACAGCTGCAACACCTGCTACGCGCGCACAGGGAGCAGCAGCAGCAAATACACGAGGGACGCCCCCAGCAGCAGCTCTTGCTGCAGGAGGAACAGCAGCTGCTGCAGGAGCAGCAACAACTGCTGCAGCAGCTGCTGGCAGAAGACGACGAGGATGTGCAGCAACTCCTGTGGCTGCCCTGTCAGCAGCAACAGTTCAGAGCACTGGTTCTGCGCTGGAATTGCTGGTCGGCGATGGACAGACAGGCAACGCCTTTAGAGGCTTTGCAGCTGCAACTGCCACGCGAACTGTCTCTTCCTCTCGTCTCTTTCACAGCCTTCTACACCAATAAATACATTAGCCGTGTTTTGGCGTGGCAGATGCACTGCAGCAGGGTCACCCTTCGCACCTCCCTGTACTCGCCAGCTGCTGCTGCTGCTGCAGCGGCTGCTGCAACTGCGGCGGAGGCGCACCAGCAGCTCGGCAAGCGCCTCACCACTAGCAACATCGCCAACTGCAATAAACGGCAAAGCCCCCGCCTGCGGCCTGCTGTCTCGACACCGTGCGAGAGCAGCAGCAGCAGCAGCAGCAGTAGGAACAGAAGCAAGTGCCGAGGTGTTCATGGCGACGACAGCAAGATCAGCAACAATGCAAGCTGCAGCAGTAGCAGCAGCAACACTGGCAGCAGGAGCAGCAGCCCGCTATCCGATGTGACGCTAGTAGAGACGGATCCATTTGCTGCAGGGTTGCTGCTGTTATTCAACGACGAGTAAGTGCTTCTGCTATTTCTATTGCGGGTTGCTGTTGCTGTTACTGCTGTTGCTGCTGTTGCTGCTGTTGCTCTTGCCATCAGGTCAGACGAAGGTGCTCTGTATGTTTTTCATGTGCTGCAGCACATTAGCGGCGGATGGACTGTCTCTAGAGGTTTTACAGTCTGAGATGCATCTCAGCCCGTCCGAATTGGCAGACGCTGCAGCAGCGTTGCTGCAGCCTTTCCCACTGCTGCGGATCCTTCCCCCAGCGAAAGCGTTAGATCAGCAAGCGCCTACGCCAAAGCGGCAGAAGCAGGAGCAACAGCAGTCCGAGGAAGAGGAGGAAAAGCAGCAGAAGCAGCGAACTTTTCAAGAGCAAGAGAACGCCCTCGAAGAGCTCACTGAAGCTGTGCGAGCAAAGCTGATTGCTGGCTGGCGGCTGCGCTTGAACGAAACTTTCTGCTACAGCGGCAGCAAGGGCAACAGCAGGAGAACTACTGTTATCCGTTGTGCACCTCCTCTCTCGCTGTCAGCAATATACACCGATGGCAAGCATGCCCGTCGAGAGCAGAAGAAGCGGGAGGAGGCAACGGAGGCAGCCGAGCTGTCTGCTGCGGATCGCAAGACACTTCTTGAAGCCTCGATCGTGAGGATCTTGAAGGTATGCGGTTTATTACGAGAAGGCGGCAGTCAATAGAGACGGCAACAGGGGGGGCGTCAATTTCCTGCCTGATGAGTTGTTTTCTCTAGGCAGAGGAAGGCGTCCATGACAATCTCTTCAGGAGAACTCGAGTTGTGATGCTGTTTAGACTGGCTGTGACAGTTCGCAGCATTTTTAGGGGGTTAATCGTGATTTGTGCTGTTCTTGTTGACCTTGTTTGCAATGCTGCTGCTTCTGTAAAGGGGGGGAGGTTTGCCGTTGACATGTTTGCTGAAATTTCTGGATGTTGTTGGTGCTGTCTGCTGCTGCAGCAAGCGCACAAAATGGAGGAAGCAGCACTTGCTGCAGAAGTTCAGGGGCCAGAGCGGTCCGCAGCAGCCGAGCAGCTTTTGCAGCAAGCGCTGGCGTCACTGATCGAGAGAGAGTTCTTAAGAAGAGACGAAGAGAATCCGTGAGTCTTTGTGATTGGTGGAAATTAACACACACAGATGGCTGGCCGCCTTCGCCTAGGGGTGCGATCTCCTTTTTGCGCACCGTCTCTATGCGTGGCTACCCTTCGTGAGACTGCGTGTAAATAAGGACATAGCAGAAGCAAATGCTGCAAAGCTCCCCTTTTGCGCGGTGTTTCAAAAGAACGGTAGCGGCAAGCCCTGTAGTCCGTGCGTGGCTCAAATTCGAATCTGAGTGCTCTTTTCAAGCGCGTTGCTGGCCTGCGTTTTGCACCTGCAGAGAAGTGCTGCACTTCGTCCCTTGAGAACAAGTTGCTTTTGCAGCTGCTGCAGGAGCAGGAAGAGGAGCAACAGCGACGGTCACCTCGCCAACTGCTGGACAGGCAACAGCTGGTGCGGGTATATATATATATATATATATATATATATATATATATATATAGATGTATAGATGCAGCAGTCGCAGCTGAGGCAGTGCTGGCAGTTGCTGTTTTGACGATGTCACAACTTGGGTGCTTCCAGCGAAACCATATGACACAACTGCGTATTGCCTTGTGAGCTAGTTCTTTGAAATGTATTTTACTGCATCCTTTTGCATTTCTATCGCCTATCGCGTGGACAATTTAGTGTGGAAGTGACCGCATGCACGCATTCATGCAACCCGTGCCGCGCTATCCCAGCAGTGACAGCATCGAGCAAGTTTGAGGAAAAACTATCACCTGCCCCTCGATGCAGCTGCAACAGCAGTAGCAGTTGCAACAGAAGAACAGACTTCCGAAAATAAGTTGTCTCTTTTGGGCCTCTCTCGGCCTATGGTAACTGGTACATCCTTTTTGTATCTTTGTCTTTTCCACTGCCCCTAGCCCTCTACATCCATAAAGGGTAAGCCTTTTCTTGTATTTGCGTCCACCGGCGCCCGCATGCGCCTCTCAAGCAATGGTGCAAACACTTGTAATGCAGGCGGCATGCGGCTGTTGCGTGCAATGCCGCAGGGCATGCGTGCGTGCTCTTGGCTTAGCGTATTCATGCACATCTGGCTGCCTTTCCTGCCTGGCAGTTCTGGGGGCCTTTTCAAAATGCGGTAGCCCGCAGATATGCATGCAGTTGTAGGTTGAGGAGTAGGGTTCGTCTATGCTTCTTCTTGTGCCTGTTCTGCATTTGCCTCGTTTGCGTCATCGCGTTCATCCTCTTCTTCTGGGCGGGAGTAGAGCCGCATTATCGGCTTTGTAGGATCTTTCAGAAGCACATAGCTGCACGTACACCCCAGCAAGGCAGGAAGAAGGCGCGCGTCGTTGCCCACCACACACGACGAATACACGTGAATACGCATGCACGACGAACTGTGCTTGCACATACGGCTGATACGGGCCGACGCGCTCAGTTACAAAAGAAGGAAACACGTAGAAATGGACTGCGTGTCCAGACAAGGGGTACTGGGGTACAAAAGTCTAAGAGGGAACGCAGAACACACTGACGCTAGAGAGGGAGCCAGACCCCGCCTATCCTACGATTCCTCCCCCTAACCCTCAACCCCCGCCGTTCACTCCGGTCTTAACGCACTGAGTAGCCCCCTACATAATGAGCATTTCGAAGCAGTTTTGAGAAAAAAGCACACATAGTTGAGATTAAGGCCTCACCGTCCATCGGGTTTGTCGTCCAAAACATCCAAGACTGCACGGACAATGCCCCAGGCGTTCTCTTGACGAAGACCGATCTGCCTTCCAAGGTCCCGTGTCTGATAGTTGTGCACCGTCAGAATCAAGTGTTGTTCTGCACAACACACGAAGGGCGAAACGATGACATCATGAGAGAGATTCAAAAAAGAAGGAGGCAAGGAACAGACAAGTGCAAATTAGGAAGCCCTGAAAGGAGCGATTCAAAAAAGCCACTGCACACGAGGCACACAAGCACGCAAAGCACGACCAACCGACAACCACACAACACTGTGGCCGATCATCATGAACAAAACAGAACTCTGTCTGCCCCGTTTCACAGAATAAAGAGTATTCGTTCAATATGGTCTACACTAAGTGCCGCTGTTTCCTCTGCTCTCTTCTTTTTCCAACGCATTCATGCCCCTTTCTTTCGGACGCCTCACCGTTGTCGTTGGGGGACTTTCTTGCCACAAACCCGAGTCTCAGCTCATCGCAGCCGGCGATCATGGCGGACGTCACAAACTTCCTGAGTTTGCACGCGTTGTTGCGCACCTCTGTGGCCAAGAGAGCGCCCCGCTGACTCTCCAGCAGTGTGCGCCAACTCTTCTGACCTGAGCATACACCCCACACAGGATGCACAACAGTACAAAAACCAGGGCCTGTGTGGCCATCTACACCTTCGCTTCCTATGTTCTCTGCCAGTACGTGTCGTGCTCTCTGCCCGCATTCTGTCTCGAAGCGATCTCTATCTCTCCCTCTCTTTCCCTCCCTCTCTCATAGGTAGCTCTGTCGGTGTATAGCCTTTGCGTCGGATGTATTTGCAACGCTCTGCCTCAGGGCTGTGGTCTGCTCTGCATGCAGTGCGCGCGCGGCTGCTGTCTGTAGAGGGGATGATGCCTTCCTCTAAGCCGAAAAGGACTTTCGCCGCAAGCTTCACAACATGCTGCCGCAAGCTTCACAACATGCCCATGCCCAACCCCAGGAACGCAATCGTGAAAAGCTTAAACCCTGGAAGCTCCCAGCCTGCGTTTCTCGCAGTCTTTCGCTCACCTTTAGGCTCAATTTCGTTGAGGGCACACGTGTAGATGTAACCACCACCGTCCACAATGAAGCTATCCTTTTCTCGAGCCTCCTTAAGGTCAGCACGGGCTACAGGCGATTTGGCGTACACTTCAGCCCTATAGAAGCCAGACACGCAAGATGAAACGGTGCGCAGATGGTGGCATTTTCCGACTGGATACAATCGAAAGATGCCTGGTGGCGAATGCTCACAAACCCTCAACATAGAGGGGCCACCGAGACTGCAGGGCGAGAGGGGAAGGGAGGGAACAATGGGAAAAGAATTGAAGGGAGGAAAGAATGGGGGAAGGAAGGGAGTAGTCGCATGAAGAAGGACGGGGATAAACAGACAGCGAGGCCAAGGCGATAGACACACAGCGTTGCACAAGGCTACAGAGGGCAGTGCACTACATGGCAAGCCATAAAAAAGATTCCAACGCGGAGAAAAAAAAGGCATGCAACAACAGGACGGCAGCAACGCGTGTCGCAAGCACCATGGTAGATGGCTGACTAGACATGGCAATGCTGGTGTTACACTCACCGCGTAAGGATATTGATTGTGCGACGAGATGAATTCGGACCAGCGCGCGGAGGAATTGTGAAGAGGCGGTACCTAGAAGAAGCATGACATGAATAAAAGGCCAAACAGCAGACGGCTGGGAAGGGCACCGCAGTGTAGAAAAGAGCACAAGGTTCGCCAAGGCATAAGGTAGAAGATGCATATGCAGACATCGCAAGAACATCGAATAGGTGCACCTCATGAGAACCCCCCAAAAAACGCACAGCGGATGCATAGGCCTAGCGAAAATGTACATGTCTCCTGCCCAGCCAGTAGTATAGCGAGACATCTACATACATGTATATATATATATATATATATATATATATATATATATACATACATGTACCACTACATTTAACACAGCCACGAGTGCCTTTATTACTCTCTAGGAATGCACATAAAAAGGAGGGCTATACAAGCACCTGTCTCATCACACAGATTCTCATAGGGTGTGGGGGAATGTGCAGAAGCGCATGTCTTGCAACAGAACGGCAATACGGACAAAAGCAACGCCAAAGCTGTCTTGTGTCATCCCGTAGAGGGAGACGCCGACTGTAGGAACGCATGTATGCGGGAGGTAGAGACACCGAATTAAAGGGGAGGCTGAGGGGCATATAAACATCCAGAGGATCGCCTATACGCGGATCCGGTGTCTGTGCCTCGTATAGCGCTGTGCGTCGGCCACAGCCAGCCAGATGACTAGAAAGTGAAAGAGCACCTGTACGCGATTGTGGCAGGGGTATCACCACTTTCCACAAACGGGGGGGGCGGGAACTCCGCAGCTACCTCTCCAGGCACGAGAACTTGTTGCCTCAAGTTTTGATTGATTTTGACAGCCTCGAAACCAAGCGCTGCGGGTCTATTCAGGCGGTTCTGCATCAGGCCGCAAGCAAATGCAATTTAGTGGAAACTCTGTTGACGGCCAGGGGATTTGCATTAGATAGCTTGAAGGCGGGATGCAGAAAGCTGAATACGATGATAAGAATACTCGTGAAGCAACTCTGCAATCGACTTGTGGAAAGGCATTTGTTCTCTCCCTTCCACACCGCCCAGCCACCGGTCTTGGGAAGTTGATAGGGCCCTCACGAAGAGGAGGAAACGTGTGCTACTTCTCGCGCGTGCGTTGTGCAAACACAAGACGGCCATCTCGAAAGGCGAGCTCAGATTAAAAGGCGAAAATACATGCGTGACACCCCAAACCCTGAATCCTCTCATGGCAAGGAGCTTGCTGTGCGCAGTACATACCTCGGCGTCTTGCATAGGCGGCTCAGTGCTTGTTTCATTAACGGTAAGGAGGTCCACGATGGATCCGTTGGCCTTATCAATGATAATCTTGCCGTCAACTTTTGTAAGATACAGATGCCACGAATACTTGGACTGGGGAGCCGCCATCAAGCACGCCAGCACTTGGTCTGTTGCCGCCACATCGACGTGCTTCTCTCCATTGAGCATATAGTCCTGTGCAAGACACGTCGAAAAAAACAAGCTACCTCTATAAACAAACGTTGTACCTGTCCCTATAACAAAATAAGTTGGGAAATGCAGGCATAGATACAAGGATGCACAAGAATTCCTCTGCAAAGGCAACGCCTTTCCACAAAAAGCCGGCAGCTGCACCAGCGACTGTGCACCAGCAGAACGCCAGCGACAGCGTGTATGTATATGTGTATACGTATGTGTGTAAGAATATATATATATATATATACACGCATACATATATAAATATACGTCCTGCACGCGTTGCGCGTGTCTTACCCTGATAACTTCATCGTCTTGAGTGGTAACCCAGTAATAATAAAAGTTGCTGCTGAGGTTTTGCATGGCAACCGGCAGTTTGCTGGATATTTTGTCTGCCTGTCGAGAGTACACCCCGAGCGTGCCTCTCCATTCAATATCTTCAACGTTGATGCGATCTGCGAGGGAGCACAGAAAAGAACACGCCATAGAGTGGCAATGCAAAAGCAGTTAGTGCACCGCGTCCTACCGAGCTCGAGAGACTCGTGCGTTGCAGATCCTGCTGGGTAGATAACAGCCAATAGCACGTGCAATTGAGCCATGCAGCATGCGCATTAGCGATGACCACACAAGAGGAGGCGGCGGAAACGCTATCGATCCACGGAAACAAACTTTGGGCATGTATACGGCTTTGGACTGCCGTGCGCGCGGACGCGAGCTTACTATTCTCAATTTGCTGCTTGTGAAGCTGCTGCAGCGGTAGTTCGGCAATAACTTGCCAGTCGTTCGTGGGCTGAATGGACCACTCCGAGAAGGCGCGGTGTCTCGCGTGGATGCGCGCATATCGAGCCTGCAAGAGGAAACAACGCACATCCCTTCATGCCGCCTTGTAGGCAAGCTTCCCTGCGCATGCGAGAAGCAACAAGCGATCAAGAAAAAGCCGCTACCACCAGACGCGCATGAAGAGGTGAACAAGACAAGGCAGCTAGGCTTCCGAAGCAAAGATCATGAGGGAGCCGCATCCATACACTAGCCGACGCATGCATGGAAGCACAAGAACGGAGTGGCATTGGGGCCTTTCAACACATACACACAGAAAGGAGACTTTTCGGCGAGTCGACAGGCACATGGGAACACGAAACAAAAAGTGATCACAACCTGGAAAATGCAATGCCAGCCAGGGCAAGAGCACACGCATGCAACACGACGAGCCTTGCCGGAGGAAGCCGCCTGTCTCACCTGTTGCTGTTGCTGCTGCTTCTTTTGATCGCTTTTCGCTTTCTTTCCCAATTTGAGTTCTTCTTCCTCCTTCGTTTTCTCGTTGAAAGCCGCTGTTGTTTGCTTCATGGGCGCGCGGCGCCGACTAAGCCAACCCTCTGCACGAAGCCAAGTGTACAAGAAGAAAAGTGGATATCATGCCCCCGAAAGAAACACCCGTAAGCGAACAAAAGCCTCAGCGTGGCAAGAGCCGGAGGCTTCGGAATATCAGCACGCCGAAAGTTCGGGACAGCAGGCAGGAAATCAGAAAATTTGAATGCGAAAAAAGATTCAAACGAGAAGATGCAGGGGGAAAGCGGGAGCCACCACATTAAGAAACATGCGTAGGTGCAGTCTGGTGGGCAGGCACGGTATATAGGGGGGTTCACCCCAAGGCAGTCGAACAAACAGCAAGTATAACGACCCCCAAGTAAATGAATGCTTAAAGCACGCACGAGAGCCAAAATAGTACAGCCAACACGCGACAGGAGAGAAACGCAGGGGGGAAAGGAAGGGGGGGAAGAAGGTGGCTACTGCATGCAAGAAAAAAACAAGCACGGCGTAAGCCGTAGGCAACTGACCCCCTGCTGCTCTGTGTCTCATCATGGGCTTGCTGTCAACAGTATGGAACTCCCTGTCGTCATCTCCTAAGCCGCCTCTCTGGTCGCGTTGCTTCTGCAGCAGCCGACGCACACCTGCAAGTCATGCATTTGATGCCTGCTCCCGCAAAGGCCTTCCAGATGTAAGCGTTGAAAAGCCTATTCCCTATCAGTGGCATCTCAAACCCCAGCTCGTACAAGTTACAAAGGCCACACCTTACACCCCAATCAATACACATTACAAAGGCCACACCTTACACCCCAATCAATACACATTACAAAGGCCACACCTTACACCCCAATCAATACACATTACAAAGGCCACACCTTACACCCCAATCAATACACATTACAAAGGCCACACC